ACTCTTAATAGAAGGCCACCCTAAAAAGTTTGATCCGACGGGACACAAGAGAAAGCCATGCCCTTCTATTCTGGGGGGGGGTTTAGTGGAAAGTTTTAGACAAACGAAAAGTAGAAGCCTTCTGCCTTTGAGAAGAGAATCATCGCTTATTTTTTGCTATGAAAAGATGTGTTCAAGTCTCAGTGGTCAAGTGTCCAGAACCACAGACCACTTGATGAAATGCAAGCCACTTCAACTGTAACAAGTAGTTAGTATGTCCAGTTAAAGTGAGTAGTTAAGTTAGTATGTCCAGTTATGCAGAATGGAAGGAAACAAGTGTTTGATAAAACTTTTAGTCTAAACGAAGATTTTAGCCTAAAAAAAACTGAAAAGTTCTTTAAGTAGTATGACGATTCAAACGTTCTCCACATGAAATAATACCAACACCTAACCAATTCGCAGGCATTTGTTTCCTATTTTGATACTAGTCACTTAAGCTCAAACAATATATGAGTATGGAAAAGCATATTGGATGGATTTAAAAGCTTTTCTAAATGTGTATTTTGTGCTTCGCACTCTCGTTTAATCAACGCTGATAACCAGTTATTTCACGATTGCTTCCTTTCACATATATGACCCTTTTTTGACCGCAGGACTGCCTACACATACTATACTACATTTTATGAAAGCGATACGGCTTTCGATTGAAATGCAGCGTGGTGTTAGCTAGTTAGTAGCTATTGTGGAGTAAATATCTGTTCACTAGAAAAATTATGCCACCAGCATTGAAATTATATACTTATGTGTGAAGAGAAAACAAGAAACTTACACGGAATAGCTTATTCAGTTTGTATAGCCTCAAAGAAATGTATCATGAATTATGTACTTTTCGTAATAGGTTCGACTGTTAATTTTCCAGAAACTGCTTTTACACTGCTGTTTAACAACGTGAGAGCGTAAAAGATGAACAAAGGCTACTTGAATAATCTTAATCATTTTTAAACCTCCGAAATATAGGGAATACTTTTCGATGAGAAATGAAGAAGTTATGTGTTACAAATGGTCGTTTTAAAACACTGATTACACCCTTTTTAGTGACTCCCTCAGAATCATTCTGATAAGACATACAGAATTTGGGATATACTACTTCTTCATTTTTATGTACTCTACGGCTTGTGCAGCTAACGGCCCCCATTTTTTGCTCTTTTCAAAAAGTTATTGCACTAAAGCTACATACTAATTTAGATTGGCAACTAGATAACTAAGTAGATTAAACAGTTCTCTACAAAATAAAGTGTCTCGGCTCTGAACGTCGATTAGTTATGAAAATACAGCTGTTGTACAAACAGCCCAATTAACAGTCCATCGATTTTGGAGCTATCTGAAAAATGTTTTTAAAAGAGTGAAGACGAGCAGGCGAAAATGGAACAAGTATATCAGTTTGTAGAAAACTGTTTGCTCTACAAGATGTGATAGCTTGTAAAGTTCGAAACTATTCTAATTAACCTGTATTAACTAAAGAAAAACCCCAAAACCGTGATGCAATGACAAAAAACGTGCGTCACAGGATCAGGTTTTTTTGTCACAGTGCCACGTGTTTTGGATTTTTCTTTCGTTAACACAGGTTAATTAGAATAGTTTCGAACTTTACAAGCTATCACATCTTGTAGAGCAAACAGTTTTCTACAAACTGATATACTTGTTCCTTTTCGCCTGCTCGTCTTCACTCTTTTAAAAACAATTAGTGTATAGCTTTATTGCAACAACTTTTTGAAAAGAGCAAAAAATGGGGGCCGTTAGCTGGACAAGCCATCTACTCGTCGTCCTACCGTTCAACTTTGATATCTGATGCAATCGTTGTTGGTGATTTTTGACAGATAACTACTGCTTGTTTTTGACACATGAGATCATCGCATCTAATTAGTGGTGTTCCGTATGCATCATATTCCAAATAGCCACATCCTGTTATATCTGCTGCACGCGGTACAGGTGTCAACGTCGTTTTATTTAAACTTTCATATTTTTCACGAAATGTTTCATCACATACATCATAGATGGCGTTCGAGTCGGGTATAATGATTTTCTCATCGTTCTTGGATGAGAACTGATTAACGGTTTGTTGTTTTGGATCATAATAGACGCCTACATGAGCAAAACCATTTGATGAGTACGTCTTTTTCATTGTTAATAAAAGTTTAATCAATTGCATTTGTACTGATTTATCCGGGACGAATAAGCTTGCTTCCTGTTGTTCACATTGTTTGACAGCATCTGCCCACGAAACTTCATGCAAGTCAATTGAATAACAATAGTCACCCACATAATGATATTGGTCGTTGTCGCAATGTAATTCACTCTCTACAGTGTATTTATCACTACTAGTATCTGTATTGGTGCTTAATGTGGTGTCTTCTTCTGCTTGAATACAAACAGGCATGGCTGACATCTCCTCACATTGTGACGACTCGTCAATACATCTTACTGATCCACCATCATTAGCAGTTTCAAATTTAACAACAATACAATGTTGACTGAGATTAATCGCAGTTGAATTCGTTCCACTACATTGTTTGAGAATACGGTCTGAAATAGAATTATTTTTTGGCAGCTCTTGTGTACGATCTAACCAGAAGTAGCGTGTATCATTAATATGTCTAAATCTCTTGTAAAGGAGAATATAATTCATTAAACGTGTATGTAATATACTATCTGGTAGTATATCTTGGATTTCAACAATATCATTTACTGCTGCTAATTTAGCACCATGAGATGAACAATAACTAACTGCTTGTTCATATGAGCTTGTTTTAGATGAAAAATGGCTGTAAACACATTGAACATCGTTCTCACCTACTTCGTAACCTAAAATAGAGAAGAAAAAGCAATTTAAGATACGTCAAAGTCTAATCTTCAAAAGGTGAACTCTCTGTCTCTTTTCGTCCAAAAGTTTATCCAAAGAATTACCCGAGCTATACTGCCATACTTTCTCAGTAGTAGTTTTTGTCTTAAGATATAATCTGCGTGATTAAAACAGTTTTCCTACCGTGATTACACTTTGGTTGCATCATGTACATTGAATAAATGTTCTTCTCACCACCACATGAGTATAAGTAATTTCCATCACATGGTATCGAACAATTTTGCCCTTTTAACATAATGTCTTCAGCATCATCTGATTGTTGTTCTTGTTTTAAATCATTATCTGTACACAGACATGTTCGATTTTGTATGTAAGAATATTTTTGTTTTGAAGCTACACACAAAGCTAAACAATGTCGAGGAGACACATGTTCTTGAAGACGAAATTGTATGGTTATAGAGGATATCAAACGTTGATTGAGTAACATACAACTATCATAAACAAAATTAGGATACGGTTCAGCTAAAAGGATAGTTAGTCAGTAATAACTGGACCAAAAAGAAAAGAGATAGTTACGCGGTGTTCGATATGATGAATATGTGCGACTAACAGTGATTTGAAGCAAGACGATGATATTGTTATTACCACATTTTTCATGTGGATTCCCTAGAAAGATACCAAAACAGAGTACTTTTTTCTAATAAAAGAGCATTTACCTGAACACGCATTCCCGCATGATTTTGCCTTGTATCTTTGAAAATCTCTGGTTACATTTACTGTTGCTGCCCAGTCATTTGTTTGACAATAGCACATATTCTTACTAATAATAGCCAATTTTGTTTGTAGTTCTTGGCATGTTGTAAGACATCGTTCATGTGTCATCTGATTTGTGATTAATGCTGGTAAATCCATGACTAATGGTTTTTGATAACATTCATAAATACCACGTTCAACAAACACTGGTGATGTTTCACATAAAACATGTCTTGGTTCAGTACAATCTGAGCGTTGAGTTGAGAGAGGAAGTGTTAACTGTGCAACAGTTATCTTTGGTAATTGTATATCACCTTCACTCATTCGTGATACTAGCATACATTTGTTATCACTGACCAAGGAAGAATTATTATCATTTATATCTGACACATAATATTCCAAGACGGGATATAAAGAAGCGCTTGATGATGATTGTGTACTAGACGATGCAGCACCAGATATTGGATAATCGTAGTCGAAAGGTGCTAATGTTGCGTCTTCATTAGCATTTGTGTTATCGTCATTGCTATCTAACAGAAAGATAGACAACAATCGCAAAATTGAAAGAACATATATGTCGTCCGCACACCAGACACCTGTGAGTCTGAGTATACTGTTCGAAAATATGTTCAATATAAAGAGTTGAATGTAGAAAAACGATAGTCACTGCAATATATCCACATCATACACTTGTCTTGCACAAAGTATTGGAGAGAAAAATAGTCGATTGTTAAAAGAACCATGGTAAAAAGTGACCTAGCTTTGTCAGTTTTTAGATGAAATAATTAGTTGTGCTACTAAGATACACTTTGGAATGACTCTAATCTTCTGAAAATCTAGTGTGTGATAATATTCTGGTTTTTCCCTATTGATATCATATTATTATCCATCCCCAAATATAATGCAGTTTGTAATTTTTTGAATAACTCAAAAACGATGATAGACAGAGACTTGGTTTTCAGAAGTCGAAAGAGGACACCTGAAGCTATGTTTTTACAAGCAAAACTGCTTTTCGAAATTATTTGAACGATCGTTTTTTCGAAAAGACCTGCGGATAATCAGCTCAGATCGCCATAAACTGACACAGAAATCTATTGATTTTTTTTTGTTAAATAGGTAATCCAAAATCGCGTCTACAAAGCTGAAACATCTTCAATTACGGAAAGCAGTTTCGCCTGTAAATGCATAGCGTCAGGTGTCCTCTCTCTATCTATTATTGTTTTTGGATTATTAAAAAAATCACAACCTGCATTATATTTTGAGATGGATAATAGTTGAAATTTGAGTATATTCACCTTTTTTATCTTGTATTAATTGTTTATCTAATAAATAAAAACCAATTTTAGCTTCCCATTCTGTTTGGTACTCTAAGGGCCTGCCAGCATTTCTCTCATTTTCAGTTTTTCTTTGTACGTCATCTACAATTCCCATTAACGTTATTACTTTATCTTCATCTTGATTTGAAATGCAAACATTTTTAGCTGATGCCATGCTCTTTCTTTGTTTTGTCATTCTAAAACATCGATGATTAATATCTAACCAACCGTGTGGACAGATAGTATTTAATTGACTAATCGAGATAATATACGATGAGTTATTATTATCTGAGCCAGACGATGAAGAAAATTTTTCAACAGGTTCCATGATGCATACACGATAACCCGATCGAGAATAATAATAACTTAACGATTCACTATCTCTTAAACAACTATTGTACACTAAGTAACGCTTTTGTTCTGCTGATGTTCTAAACTGACTCCACATAGGACGTTGTATTCTATAAATGGGTCGAGGACTATCATCATCACCTGTAGTCGAAGCAATTGTAGTTGTTGTTAATCCACATTGCCATGAATTATTTGGAGTAATATGATCAGCAAATTCAATTAAAACTCGCTCGTCATGTAGTTCTAATTTCTTGAGTAGTCTCAAATATGCTGACCAAGCAATTGAACCGTCGTAAACAAATTCTTTCATGGGAGGCGAGCATGTTGTTGGTCCTGAATAATAACCTGAATATTGCTTTGTTACACATTTTCCTAATTCTGACATGAATATTGTTGTTTCTGGACATGATCCATTCAAAAGATAAACAGCAAATATTTTTGGATCCTTCTTTGAACCGCACCTATATGTTTGTACTGGTGACGAATCATTACAATATCGATCACATGTTGAATTTGGTAGTGTGCTAACGTACAAAGCACGATTTTGTAGTAATATGAGTGTTTTTGTTCCTAGGATGCATATACATTTATCATCACTATTGAATGCCAAATACTTTGTTGTAGCATTTTGATCAAGACACAGAGCAGCACAGCGTTCGACAGTATTTAAATCACTACCGGATTTTGGTATATCGATAATACTCATTTCGTAACCTCCAATTGTTTGCCATTTTTGACATGAACTAAATTCTATTTGATAGTGTAACAAGTGACCGTGTTTTAAGTGATATGATTGTTCAATATACACTGAATAAGTTTCAACACCACCACATGTAATATTATTCATGCGACCACTATATTTCACAGAACTACTATCATCACGTAATAAACCGGGACACGGATATTTACATAGTTTCTGACTCTGTCGACCATTGTGCATGATACCTGAAATCAGAATGATAACAGTGTTAGAGATAGGTATTTAACAGAAATAATCGGTTTCAATATCTTACTTGGTCCTTTGCTAAAAACAAAGCGAAAATTTTAAAAATGTCTTGATCTTCAGAAGGATGCTGTAAGAAATACAGGCTATTTTGGAAATGCTTTCGCCAGCGAAAATAATGGTGCTATGTAGGAAAACTCAATTTAGTAGAGAAAACCGAAGGAATGGTAAAGAATTGAACTTGCCAAAGTGCCGACGATGATGAGTAACAGTACTGTTTTCAAGAGATAAAAGCCTCTTATGAAGAAGGAAACGCACCTTTTGACCAAATTAATTCTGGAAAACTTCTCATAAACTATAATTGCACTTGTCAAGTTGTCAATTAATGCTACCTCTTTAAAATCTTTTATGTTCATCTACATCAAAAATATCATCCTTACTGATATTTATATCCTCCATCCGTCAAGATGCCAAGCGAATTTCCAACTCTCTCTGATATAATTCAAGCACAAGCGAAAACATATTTTTGTACGGTGACTTAGTTCTTAACGAGATTAAGCTGTTGTCAAAATAATTCTCTTTCCCGTGAAAATTCATCGAAAACGCTTCAAATTTTTTCATTAATATGAGTACTATTTTCTTTCTGAATAATTGTGATTGGGTACCAAACATTACGCAAAAATAATGTATTCACATTTTGAATACGAATCTTCGGAAACATTCTGTGAATATTTTTTGCGTTTAAAATACATAAGTTAAAATGCAGGGAGAATGAAGGTATTAGATGTTTTCTGTACATGAAGAACAGTTATGCAAGATGCATCTACATGGAATGCAGAGATAAAAGTGTTGCTGTTGTATTACCTGCTATATCTAAGTATGTGTGTTTTTTTCTGCGTAATTACAATCGCAAAGCTTCTCACAAATGTACTATAAGTTTCATGAACTTTTCCGCAATTCTCCTGCAACAGACTACTATGATAGCAACATAAAACATGCTTTGTCGTAAAAACCGAGTTTCAGATCTTTTCTAACATGGATTTTTGAATGCTCTTCATAAGAACTTCTAAAATTTTAAACAGTCACACCTTTGAAAGTTTTGAAATAGGTAGAAGCAGTTAAAACTCTGAATGTCTTAAACCGACTTTGAATGAGTTACAGGCTCTACAGTCAGTCCGTTGTCACTTGCCCGATCGAGAAATATTGCTCGAACGAGCAACTTGCCCGATCAGGCAAGACTCTATCTTGGAAACCGTAGGTCCTCTAACGGGTGGAAAGTGCTTATTCTTCTTCTCGCACATTGTATATTTATTGTGCATCAAAATTATATATTCCACCTTTTTCCTTTCTCATGGGAGAAATGAAAAACAAATTTAGCTCAATATCGTTCATTTTATCTTTCC